CTTCTCTCTGATAGGCTGAGCCGCGGCCGCTGGTGCCGTCCCCGAGACTTTGATAAGGCGAAAGGGAGGGCAGGTTGGTGGGATTGTCTTTCCGCGGCGGCGGCGGCGGCGGGCGCGCTTTTGTGCTTCCGAAAAGCGCATAAATAACCAAACGTTGACAGGCAGGAGAGAGGCAGACCTGAAGCGGCCATAAATGAAACGACGCAGGATCGTTTCTCCAGTCAAGCTTTTACGAGAGATGCCAGACAGTGTCTGTTCACGTTCGCCATAACAAAGTTAAGGTCAAGTTAGTGCCTTATCTTGGGTGGCACCGACAATGTTGCTGCTTCTGCTTCTCCTCCCTCTCCTGCTCCTCCAGGCGAAGCGCGGGGACGGGAGCCAGCGCTCCCTTCCTCAACAGCTGGGCGACTCGTTCCCGCTCTTTGCCCCGGAGGCTCTTCGGAGCTGCCGCTCGCCTCACCTCACCTCGGCAGGCTTCCAAGACGGCAAACGGTAACGTCTCCGCAGCGACGCTACCCCGAGCGCTCCTTTGCAGCGGATGAGGAGCGGGGAGGGGGGGGAAGAGGGAGGGGGCGCAGGGATGGCATTTATTAAGAGGCGGCCGAATCCCGAAGCGAGTCAGCCGCTTCTTGCAGTTCGGGAGGTCTGAGCCACCGGGAAGATCCCCGCTGCTTGCGGTCGGTTCCTCGGCTTTTGGGATGGGAAAAAAGAGAAAGAGAGGCCGGGGGGGGAAAAGCTTTTTTGCTCCCTCTTTGCTCTGATCGCTGCCGCGCCCGCCCTGCTCTTTCCCCCCTTTTTTTCCTTCTGGCGAGCAAATGGTAGCCGCACGTCCTTGAACTTGAAATGGTGGGACCTGGTTCGCTTGCAGCTGCAGAAGCGTAAGTCTCTCGGCGGGTTTGGCTTTGAGCTTCGGGTCGGTTTCTGGGCTGAGCTGTCGGTGCCCGGGTTTTATGGGTGAGGGAGGGGGAAGGTAGAATGAGAAAGAGGTCCTGGTAGGACCGTCGCCAAGGTTTTTTCATGGGTTTAGTCCGGAGATGATCGGAGAGGATTGTTAAACCCCCCCCAAGAAACACCCAGCCTTCGCTGTTGGCGGATTTTGGACTACAGGGGCCATTTTAGCTGCGCCGCGCCGGTTTGGGAGAGGGTGGTGGTGGAGGATGCGTCCATTGACAGCAGAAGCAGAACCCCAAATGCTGCTCCTTGGAAAAAGCGAGAGGTGAGACTGAGCCCCTTTGGGTTGTCGTTGCGGGGAGATGCTCGGCGGTGGTCGAATCTCAGGTGTTGGTTGGATCCAAGGGGCGCCCGAGGTGGAGGTTTCCAAGGGAGCAGGCGGCTGTGCTCTACGGCTAAGCCTTGAAGGGAGACCGGACCGCCTTGAGACCCAGGATAGCTCCCTCCTCCCTCCTTTTCCAAAGAAGGAAAGTGGCGTTGATTTGGCTCTGCTGGGAGGTATTTGGCCAGCCGTGTTGTCTCTCCTCGCCTTCTCTTCTAGAGGAGAAGTGGGTGGGGGGTTTCTCCCCCCCCCCTGCGGAAACCAGGCATCGCCAGTCTGCCTGCGATATTTATTTATGTATTTATTTATTTGAAAAGTTTTTTATTTTATTTTTCCATCACCACCCTTACATCAGTGACTTTACAGTGCGTCATCTGCGTACAATCTTTGTGTCCTCATATTTAACAGTTACATCATTTTAAATCTATTTTTACCTTCCCTCTACCTTTACATTTCAATTGCCTTTTAATTCAACTCCTCCCCTATAATTCTGCGTTCTTTTCCAAATTATTCAATTTTCGGGTTTTTTTTTTTTTGTCTATATTCATTTTCTATCCAGTGATAAAAACATCCCCACATCTTATAATACTCTGATTCTTCCTTCTGTTTGATTGCCAACGTTAATCTGCTCTTTTCTGCACAGTCTGGTTTTTTTTTAAATTACATAACTGCGATATTTATGTGTTCCAACTAATTTGATAGGTTACTGAGATGTGTTATGTACACAATACCGAAAACACTTGTTGGCTCAGCTCTGTTGGCATCTGTTGGGAGGTGTGTGGAAACATAATAACAGTAATGATAATTAAATTTATTTGCCGGAGGAGACTCATATGAGTGGCATACGTATAATTGTATATAGGAATATGTTATATAATCACACATACAGATACACGGTGCTTATCTGCTTAAGTACTTTTTAAATAAAACATTTATAACAGGCTATGATTAGCTGTGCTCGCAAATAATTTCTGGCATAGAATTTTATAGTTATCTACAGAATAATTTGGTTTGGGTCTTTCGTTATTACAGTTTATAAATTCCCTTCCCTTCCTTCTTTCCTTAGTTCGCCATACTGCTAATATTAAACAAAAGAAACCTCATCCATCTTTTGCAGTGATTTTTGGTTGTAATATGGATAATGTCCCACATATTTTGGATTGTTATTGTTAGAATCATCACAGCTAGTTTGCGTTCTAAAGTCTGATGTAACTTATTTAGTTAGATGTAATTTGGAGAGAAGATGTAGAAATCCATTTGGAATTACTTTTTAGTTTGATGCATTTAAAAAAAATATGTGTTTTGAAAGACAAAACAGCCTTCTGGGGTTAAACTTGACTAGGCAGCTTAATCAAGCCAGGTGGGGAAAGAAACAGCTAGTTGCTTTCTCGAGTATGATCAAATGTGTTTAAATAGATGTAACGTGAAGAGAAAATGTAGAAATCCACTTGGAATTATTTTTCACCTTGATGTCTTTAAAAAGATGCTTATTTAGAAAGATATATTTTCATTTGAAAGGCAAAGCAATCTCCTGGAGTTAAATTTGATTGTGGCAGCTTAATTAGGTTGGATGGGGAAAAGAAAGGAAGTGAAACAGATGTGACTTCTAGAAATATTTGAATTCTGACTTGTGGAATGTGTCTCTTCTTGCTGGGATTTTCTCCGTGGCTTGCTCAGTCTGTCTGTCTGTCTGTCTTTCTTTCTTTCTTTCTTTCTTTCTTTCTTTCTTTCTTTCTTTCTTTCTTTCTTTCT